GTCTACGTATGTCCTCTATGCTGAGGATTACACCACTATCGACCGCCTCAGAGACTCCATGGAGCAGAAACTGTGTGAAGGTTACAATACATTTTAAAGCATTTTAAAGCTTTTTATTCTCATTATATATCATTAGCATTTTAGATATTGATATTGATAAGAATTTAAGGTCATTTATTTAAACAGCATCACCATTTCACTGTTTTTAACAAACATCCTTCTCTCCAGATAACAAAATAAAAAAATTAAAAAGACTAATTTTGAATCTAGGTCAGTAGATGATAGTAATGTTGACAGTAGTGACACGTCAGAATATTACTGTTTTTACATCTTTTGGTTGTTTAAGATAAAAATATAATTATTTGATTCCCTATTTAACTTCTTTAGTGTATTAACATTATTAACCATTTTAATTAAGCAATTTAATTGATTTAACCTAGGAACTAATTCCAATCGGATGCAGAAAATAAGAAAACATAAAGAAGTAAAATTAAAAGGTTTCTATAGATGTAATTAATAAATTCCAAACAAGTTGATTTAATAAATTCTTTTGTTTGGACAAATCTATTTAGCTCTGTTCTAAAAGTAAACAAAACTGAAAAAAAAAAAAATGAAATAAACTGTTACAGATTGAACAGTCAGACGATTCGGGACTGTTAGGTTAAACTATGAAGCCTAAAAAGCTTAACTTGAATGTATTATTTCACATTTGATGATTTTTTACCCTACTGTAAGTTCTCAATAATGGGTTAAAACAAAGTTTGGATTGTAAATAAGTTAAGAACTTGAGTCTTGACGTGTGGTTGCAACTATTATGGCATATTATGAGGTGCTGAATATATGGATTACTTCATATCCTTTCTATTCAGAATCTGTTTGCCCCACAAGAATCCCAGTCGCATCTCGTGATGAGAAGGGCTTTGAGCTGCTGCTGGGCATGAACATTCAGAAGAAAGCCAAGAAGATCGCCGGCTCGCTTGTTTCTGAGACAGCCTACGCTCTAAGTACCTCCACAGACATTACTGAGAACACCAGGTACGAAACTATCTAACTGGTCTGCTCATTTAATAACAATGAATAATTATCATGTAAGAGTTTTAATTGTTTTGCTCCATTTTTTTAAACAGAGACATATTCCCAGAAGGTCTTCCTCCATCGTATGTGTTTGTTGCCACTATACGTCTGAAAGGGACCTCTAGCAAGCTAATATTTGACCTATGGAGGATTTTGGCAAAGAGTAAGGAAATCCAGGCTGCAGTAACACTAAATGGAAAAGACCAGTCTGTCATCTTCGTTACCACCAGCGTGAGCGGAAAAGAGCAAAGAGTCGTCTTCAAAACAGGCTTCAAGGTTAGTGTGAAGACTAGTAGGTGAGAACTTAAAAGCAGGAAGTTCAGCACCATGAAGGAGTGATTGGATCATTAAGTGTCTCTTTCACAGCAACAAAGCGATATGTTTATAAAATGTAATCAGATCATCTATAGTGCCTCAAATGGAAATGTTCACAATATTTTTCCAAGTCACTTTCTTTTAGAGGCAAAACCACACTGGAAACAAATCGAAATCTAGATAAGTTATTTTTTCATAAAATAAGTGCATTTGTTCTTGAATTGAGAAGATAAAAGAGACGTTTTGCCAATGGAACAACACAAGTTACATTTAAAATAAGAAAACACATTTGCATTGTATTATTTTAAGCACATTTTATCTAAATATCTTTTTTTAAGAGTAAGAATACTCATACCATTTGCAAACTATCTCATTTACCTACTCAAATAAGGGGTAAATACAAGCAATTTAAGAAAGTTTTACTAATTCCTAGATTGTTTTTCCAGTCCAGGTCAAAGGAAAGTAAAACAATCTAAAAATAAGTAAAAATTTGTCAAATTAAGTGTATTTCCCCTTAATTTGAGTAGATAAATAAGATGATCTGCCTCTTAAAATAAGATAATTAGATAATATGCACTTGAAATAAGACAAAGCAAATGTTTTTTTCTTATTTTAAAATTTATTTAAAAATTAAATTTAAAATTATTGTCTTGGTCCATCTGCAAAGTGTCTCATTTACCTCCTGAAATTCTAGGGGAAAAAAAACACTTATTTTAAGATATAATGACTTGGTTAGAATTAATTTTTTCATTGCAAGTCAAATCTCAAGTCCAGAAAAAATGACATAAAGATTTTATTACTAAGTCTACAACATCTACTTTACCTCTATACCTGCAGTGTGGTAGATTAAACAAACTGAGAGGCTTTTTGTGACACAAGTTTTCATTATCTCTCCCAAAGCTGCAGGGAGACACACATCACTATAAAATATCTGATGCAGTGGGTAGTATTGATTGCGGATTGAGATTTAAGTCACTGATCTCATTTGCAGCAACATTTGGGGTAAAAACTTAGCCAAGTATGATGAGCAAATCCTAAATAACTGCTAGTGCCACCCCTCAATAAGTGTAAGATAGCCCAAATTCCCCCTTGTTTGAGCCCTGTCCTGATACGATTCATGTTTTCTCCTCCTCTGCTCTCCAGAAAAAGAAATCTAACCTCCAAAATCATAATATTATCTATGAGTAGGCCAGCAAAGGACTTGTGGCTGTTATGCCAATAGCCACTTTGGGTTGCCATAAAACTGTTCATCCTACTGCCAGAAAAGAGACATTAGACTACCACCGGGTCAGTGGCATACAAAGCCGCTAATACTGTTTTCCAGCCAGAGACACCGGGGGGGACGATAGACCCCTCAAAGGTCTCATAAACACACAAATCACATCACAGGGACTTAGAAAAGGAAATATTAAGGTGAAAATGTTACTTAGTGCTTCTCTCTAGTGAAAGAGTGTTTGTATTTACAGCACTGTCAAATAACATCACATCTTTGGAACATCTTTTTATCCCACATACCGAGCAATCACACTTTACAACCTTCCAATGTCAAGCTTTGGGAAGATGAACCACAAGTTCATTACTTGTTTGCTTTACAAACAACCCATGGTGTTGTTTGTAGAAGACCTCGGTCAAATATTGTTAGAAATAGAGGAAATGCCTGGAAAGGAACTGATAAAGTCGGATTTTAAAGGTGGGACTAACAGTCAATGGAAACGGTTGAGAACCAATCAACTAACTTTGAATGTAACGCACAAATGGATAAAAGAAAAGCTTTTGCAGCAGTCAGTTGTTTATAGCTTTAAATCCAGCTCATCTGGGACATTACAAAGCTTGGTTGCAGTCTTGACCGTCACAAAATAGGACCACTGGGAAAATTCTGGAGCTAGCGGTAACGCAGTTATGTCCCCGCCCCTTCCACAGACACTCTGCTGCACCTCTACAAAATTGTAGGTGCCGCAGACAGGAGGCCTCTGATTGGTCAGATCTACATCCACTTTACTCTATCCGTATTTCCTGTTTGGTTCCTTACTGGCTTGTTTTGTTTTGACCGCCATTGTGGAAAACGACTCGTGAAGATGGACCAGCTAGAAGAGCGAGGTGCGCGAGAACGCTGGGATCCTTTTTCCACCTGGATCCCTGCTCTTTTTGGCCCTCATGTCCCTCCGTTGTCGCACAAACTTGCCCCCACTTCCTCACCGCCTCGGCCGTATCTAGACCCACAGCTAGTTCCTGATTGGCCCTCTGGTGTTGTGGCGTGGAATAACATAGCGCAGACCATACTTCAATATAACCAGCCCTTAAGTCAGTCTGTCTACCCAGGCTAGGTGAATCCAGCTACACCACTAGCTTCACAATCACAGCTGCATAAAAAAACGTAATGGTTATTTGTTAATCTCAGAGCAATAACAGGCTCAATAGTAAGTGGGTGTAATAGTCATTAACTAGAAGGCCAGTTAACCTTTCTTGTTCCACAAAGATGTCTTACCTCTTATCCAAATGACCCTTTCATTTCTGATAATGGGGTTTGTAGCTCTTGCCATGTAAATTGTTTGTTTTGCAAAACAGAATCTGTAAGTGTTGCTGGACTTGTGACACAATCTCTGTGTCCATAGCTCTTGTACACTTGTGTACTAAACATTTAATCCAAATCTACCATTGTTACTGGGGGTTTAATTTGTGCAGTCATACAAGGGTGTTTAAACAACCAGCATTTAAGTTCAAATTAGCGCTACGTTCCGCCCGGACAACCTTGGGTGTTCGAAAATCCCCAGGAAATGACTTCCTGCTGTGTTAATTTGTTTGGGGAATGAAACAATATCCCTGACTTGTTTTATCAGATCTAAAACTTGCAGAGTTTGTAGTTTTGGCAAAGCAAAAATACAGCATGCTCTGAGTCAGCTAGCTAAGCACCTGGTACAGGGAAACCAAATGTTCCCAATAGCCCAAAGTTGTTTATTTAGCAACACATGGATGTGAACTTAATTGGTGTCCTCTTAATTATCCGACCCACCAATTGCAACTATAACTGCTTCTAGTCTTCTGGGAATGTTTTTACGCAGGGTTAAGGTTGACTTGTCTGCAGTCATCTCTGCAGACCAGTCAAGTTTTTTACAAAACCTTTTCAATGTTTATTTTTATGGACTTTTTTCATTGATCAGTTTTGTTGGAAAATAAAGAGGACATCTTATGAAGTTGGAAACATTGAATTAACCTCAATATGTTGGTGTATTGAACTATTAGGATCTTCACTAAAAATCCTACAAACATTAACCAATAGATACTAACTGAAGCTCACTACCTATGCTAATTTAAAAGGAACATCAAGTTTGCAGGAAGTTAAAAACCACTTAGCATCAGAAAGACAAATTAAGTCTTTGTGAAAAAAAGATCAAGCTTGTTCTATTAACTATTAACCACAAATATTTTACCAATCGACATTTAGTACTGGGAAAATTTCACACCTGTACTTATCATCATCCCATCATGGAAATCCTTGATACATAAAAGAACATCTTTTAGCCGCTACAGCTACAGTAGTGACGTGGGATTCCAGGCACCGTTGCATTGAGTCATGCCAAAAAAGCAATGGGATTCTAATGTCGATTAATATTCATCTATCCCTGTACAAAAGTATCCCTAACAAAGTGTCTGACCTCTAAATGTGACTGTAGAAAATCATATTTAATTTGAAGCTGAAGAAATAAAGCAAATTTATTGCAGATATAAAGATCCTTAACACAGCGGAGCCCTCTTCTCCTCCATGGAAGGAATGCACCATCCGTTAATCCTGGTTTAAACTGATGATTATATTCTATTGGTGTGTATGCTGAAATAGACTGCAGACTGAATAATTTGTAAATTTTATCAAGAATTCTGAGATAAGTTTTATAATAATGCCGCAATCAAGTGAGGCAGACTTGGGGCCTAGTGGATGAA